GACGAAACAATTAGATGACGGAGAGGATGGTAGCATCAAATGGAACTATACGAAGTTTCTTGTCGACCAAGAGGGGCGTCCTGTGAGTAAAAAATTTTTCGTTTTCCAAAAACGCTTAAAAATTTAGTGTTCACTAAAATGTAAAGTATCTACAAACCTCGGTGGAGATTTTCTTTTTCAGAAAAATTTTTTGGTCAGTTTTTGGAATAAAATTAATCGACCAGCACACCGACTGCTGGTACGAAGATGCGTTTTTGCATAGTTCCCCGCAGGTTTTTGTCGCTAACACATTGTCTTTTTCGGCAGATGTTTCTAGCTAAAAGAATTGGGACCGGCTGCCAGCACTGTCAGGAGACTTCCCTTTAAAATTTCAGCTTTCTAGCTATCCTTGTTTCCGTAGCAACTTACCCGCAGAAAATTCCCGGGCCAGTACATAGGAACCATGCGCAACCAGGGGCTGGGTTTGAACTGATTAATACCTACATGGATCGGGGGCATCCCCTCAAAATTCTAGTCTTCTAGCTTTTCTGGTTTCCAAGTTAACTGCTTATCTACATGAAACTTTCACGGGCCTGCACCTGGAAACCATGCATACCCGGGGGCCGGTTTTGAACTGATTAACGCCAGCGTGGGCGGGGAACATCCCTTTAAAATTACAGCCGCCTAACCATTCAGTTTCCCTATTTAGCAATTTGCCTGAAAAAAATTCCCCTGGTCTGTAAGTGGGTACCACGCGGGTATGAGCGCCCGTACGTGCATATCATGTAAATGAAGTTCCCAAAGTTTCGCCTTGTAGCCTTTGTAGGTTTCAAGATGAAAAACCGGTGCAGACAAATACACAGACACACATACACCCGCACACACAAATGGCTTCTCGGCAGTATGCGTTTTTTGCATTGCATAGATGCAAAAAGAATGGATAAAAAAGACAGTGCGAAGACAACAGATCTAAAATAAACTGTTTTTGTCAGTCGACTCCACAGTGGTGTAGAAATAAGTTTATTTGAAATGATTGCTACGCATTCATTAGCAAACTGTACGTTTAGAAGTTTCATAGCCTTTTCTGAATTTGAAATATGCCAGTTTTATTTTGCGTTTTTTGCAGCTGTGCAATAACGCATATTGACGAAAGGTTGTCTGTGTGTCTGTGAGTCTCTCTGTGTGTGCGCAGGGCCTCTTTACCGATTTTTCATCTGGAGACCTACAAAAGCTACAGGGCCTAAATTTTGGGGGCTTAATCTACATGCACGTACGGGCCTCCATCCCCAAAATGGACGGTCTTACTCGCGTAATACCCACGTAAGAGCGCGCGAAAGTTTTCTACGGGTAAGCTGTTAACTCGCGAATCAGAAAAGGTAGAAAGCTGAAATTTTGAGGGGGTGTTCCCCGTCCAAGTAGGTATTAATGAGCTCAAATCTAGCCCCGGGTAAGCGTGGTACTCGCGTATGGGCTTGCCAAAGTTTTTTTCAAG